CCTAAATACTGTACCTCTAAATCCTTGGAAATCTTCATTGACCTGGATCATGAATTCTTTACATACATCCCTTAATACACCACTGTAGACCCAGTCATAGATGAACCTAAAAAAAACAAGCAAGATCGATTCAACACACAAAGAATACTATACATACTGATTTAACCGGAATCTTAATCCGAGTTTACTTTATGCTTGTTAAGACAGTCATTCCCAAGGAACACTACCTAGTGTATGGCTCACAACTGGACTTCAGCAGGGATAACAAGATCGGATAGTTTTCATTACTGCTGTTTTCAAGAGATTCTTTGTACAAGTACGATAGCAACTTCACTCCCTGAAACAAAGAAAAGCAGAAACAAAAGCAGCAGAAACATGAGCAGCATATACAATTGGAAGGTGTCCAAACTGAAAAGAACTTAGGAACTTAAACTAGAATAACCGCCATCATTTAGTTTATTAGCAGTCCTTCATTTGATTTTTGGGAAAGTATAAAGACATACAGTATAGTAAAATAAAACATATAACCTTTTTTTCTTAGATATCTGTGTAAGATAGATACATAAAGGTTAGATTTCACTATACCTCTGCACAATGTAAATGCTTCCTGTGTACTTCTGTCAACAACAAAGTAGGAAAGGTAAATGAAGCTCAGAGAAAATGTAGCACTATGCCTCTAGTGGTTAATCTACCACTACCACTGGTCCACCCTCCACTGCAGCAACTTAAAGGAGAATTATGAGGCGAGTGATTTTCACTGAGCTTCATAATCTGAGCCAACCTGTGACAATGAAACTGTCACAGGTCGGCTCAGTAGATCGGGAAGTGAGCGAACACATACCGTTGCTTGCTCACTTCTCGATCTATCCCTGCAGAGAGCCGTGACTGTCACTCATTGCTCCCTGCAGGGATTCCCCCCTCCCCTGTCCGATCCTCCAGCGCTGACTGACTAAACGGACGGGGGAGGGGGCGGGCACAGCTGGCTCTGCCTCTGGATAGGCAGAGCCAGCTGTCAATCCCGCAGCTGGGTGGATCCGGACAGTATTGTCGGGATCTGTCCCGGCTGCGGCGTCTCAGTATACCGCGAGCTGTAGCTTGCGGTATACTGAGCTTTGGGTCACGGGAGATCGCTAGTTTGTGTTCTCCCGTGACCCTTAGGAGAACTATGGGGAAAAGCCCTGACCCCATAGTTCTCCTTTAAACTGCAAGCCATTGGAAGGCAGCCCCGCAGCAGAGACAGTACCCGTTCTGCCATTTTTAATTAATGGTTAGCCAAGAAGTGCTTATGGAATCTCATATGGATAGTGATACCGCCATACAGAGAAGCATAGGCAGCAGAAGCAGGAAGGGAGTTCTAGAGACAATGTGAAGTAGTAACGCTAGCTGCTGTTGCTCATGAAGTATTTAGCTATTAAACAATGAAGGCTAATTTAGCATACCCAGAAATTATGGCATAAAAAGTACAGAAAAGAATAAACGCAAGCAGAAAGTGTTTGCTCAACACCATGAACAATATTGGAATGACTCAGTTATACTTACTGTAGGAAATGAAAAGTTGTTCCCCCTGTTACCACCCATTCCCACTGTTCCGATGCAGCAAAGTTCTGCTAAATATCTAGATGTGAGAAACAGATATTTTGTTAAGGAATAGTGTATTCATGACATGTTTCCAAATATTATTGCACATCAGAAAACAAAAAGCTTTTTTAAATACCTTAACTGACGGCCTAGTTTTCTGAAGAGGAAGCTGATAGTGAGGAGGGATAGTGTATTTGGAGTTGACAGAACACATGCACGATAGTACTGCAAGTATTTCCTAAGGCCACTTTTAAATGCCTGTAACAAAAAAAAATATATATAAACCGTAAGATTCCGTTCAGAATATCTTGCTTGCTTTAAAAAACTTCATAAAAAGTTGGTCAGACGGTAACACACTCCAGTAAAGGTATACATTTATTCCCCACGGTAGCTCAGATCTGGATCCGATATATCAAGCCTGTGTATAGCAAAAAAAATTGCCTTAGTGCAAATAAATCCCTGCAACTTGATATTATTTGTACACTATGTGCTGGGTACATGTAATACATCTTTATAATAAAACAGTGGTGGTCAACTCTCATTATATTGGGGGCCTCAAGTGTGGCCCCTGACATCACCAAAGGGCCACACATGATATTCAGTAAATGTATTGCTACAGAAAGCGGTCATAGACTGCTACTGTAGAAGTCCCTAGAGACTGTCATAGACTGAAGACACTTTTCTCTTCAATATGTTTTATTAGGTTCTAAAGCATAAAAGCATACAATTGTCAGGAATAGTTGTGGTAAAAGACAACATTGCGCCCCTACAGTGGGCGGCATACTACAGTAGGCATAAGCAAAAAAGGGGGAGGGATCAGGGGGAGGGGATAATGCTGATTGTCGCTGAGACTCATCAGAACAAACGGTTGTTTGTGGAGGAGGAATTCAGGATATTGGGGGGGAGCGGGGTAAGGGTCTACCCCGAGGGATTGTAAAAGTCAAGGAGGCGGGGAATAAGCGAGGCGATAAGTAAAATTGGGTGAGGAAGCAGTAAGGAAGAAGGAAAGAAAAGAGAAGTGGTGACTACCACAAGGGCTCTGCCGCCAAAAAGGCAGTTAGCGAATGAGGTTTCGTGTTATCGGATCTAGGGTGGGTAGGAAGATGGAGGACCATGGGTCCCATACGGTATGAAATTTACAACTCGTGTCCAATAAGATGCTTGAAAGGTGTTCGTTGACAAAGAATCCTTGCATACGCTGTTGGAATTCAGTGTATGGAAGTGTCTGCTTTTTCCATGAGTGTGCTATAGTTTGTTTAGCCGCTAAAAACATAAAATTGGAGAATTGCATTGGAGCCGTGTAAGGTGTGGGATTCTAACATGAAGTAAGGCCTGCCAGGGATCCTTCAGAATTGGCGTGTTGAAGATAGAGGAGAGGAGCCTGTATATTTTAGACCAGAACCTGGCCACGAAGGGGCACGTCCACCAAATATGCATAACATCACCTATGGCTTGACGCCCTCTGAAGGAGGCGTTGGAGCTAGACTGATGGAGGTGACAGAGGCGAGAGGGCACGAGATACCCCCTGGAGGGAACCTTGTAGGCCGCCTCCTGGGAGTTGATGTTTCGAGAACACCTGAAGATCGCATCTCAAATCAACCCCCACTCCTCAGGGGGCCTCGCGTGGTGGAGGTCCCGCTGCCAATTAGTGACATACCTGTGAGTGGCGATGGAGGGGAGAGCGCTGAAGACACTTTTCAATTCAGTTCTTTGCCTTTAGCTCCCATAAAAATTACTTATGCCAAATTTGATATTCCTGAGATCCATTAAAAATAAAAAAAACCCCAGAGGAAAGTTTGCATTGACCTCCCCAGGCTTAAAGTTACACCTTCCTCACTCGGTATATGTGAACTTTTCGGTGATGTGCTTTAGAATGTACGTATGCAACAAAAGACAAGAAAACACAAGAGATGGTTACTGCACCAGTTCTTGATTACTTAGACTTTTTTTTATTTACACAATTACTGTAACTGTAAACATATATGCACTTTTATCATTACTGTATGAATAACTGAGTTTTGAGGTTGAGCGTTATGATGATAGATCATTTCACGTAAATATTTGCTCTTTGCATGCCACCAGCACCCCTAGATGGGGCTGACCAGTATAGGAATGTCCTACACTTGTCAAAGCCATCTAGGGGTGCTAGTGCCGTGCGAACGGCATCTGCCTGCATCTAAGCAGTGCGGAACTTTTATACATGAACTTCTATGTTTTTAACTATTGTGAGCTGCTGCTGTCTTTTCATATATGGCATTATTATTATCTGAGGACTTACATTTACCTTGAGCTAGAGTCTCATTATAGCGCCATTTTGATTGTTTATGAGTATTTAAATTATACATTGGTCTAAAGCAAAGTATGATAGAGTGAGTTGTGGTGCCCACACATATTAACAGATATCTTTGTCCTGCAAGAGGTGCGTTTCCACACTAATCCCTGAATGCCCTAATCACATATTTATGCTAAAGCAAGCCAGTCATAAACATTTAAAACCGGCCAACAGAAAAGACTACCGGACATACTTAATATTTTCCCGTACAAATGGAAGAGCCCACTTTGCATTAAACTACCTGTATTTAGAGGAGGATGTTTCAGACATATTGCTGGCCAGCTAGTCATCATACCTACTACTTGATGCACCCTGGCACTGCTCTCATAAGCACAGAACCTGACATAATGTCATTCTGGAACATGGAAAGGATACAAAAACACTACAATCTCTACATCCAGATATGTCAAAGCAGGTGAGCCCAATCACCCCAACATTTCCTCTGTTGACCAAGTGCACAAACCGAAATATGGGGTCCTCAAATCTTTTGTTGCCAGACAGAAACAGAAAAGAAGCTGTAGAGGCAGACAGCAGACCAAGACCTAGTTCGTGGGCAAAATCCACAGGACAGACCTGAGGGAAGCAAGAGGCATGCTGGAAACAAATATGAGAGAGAAACCATGGCACTAAACAGACGGTTGACAGGGAGGGACCAGTGTCCTTCATACTGTTACACTCCGTTTGCCAACAAATAATCACCAACTCTAGGAAAACAAAATTAGAAATTTGTCTTCCTGTTGATCTCATCTTACAAAGGATCCTGGAAACCAACATACATGCTTATTTGAGACATTATTGAAGAGAGACACTACCTTCAAGAATGACACTACAAAGGAGGCAAAGTTGGAGGGATTGGTGTTCTATAGAGAAGGTTCTTCTCTCATAGGGACTGGACCCTAAGCCCCCAATGTCTTTTGTGTGCCGCTAATGTGCTGTTAAGAAAAAGGCAAAATATATAATTGGCAATCTGACATGAAAAAATCCGAGAACATCCACAATACCTGAAATACAAGGCCTTTGCTTTGTGAGGAGTCCAGAGCAGACTGCAATGAGAAATGACTCAGCCTGGTGTAGTAAGTACCATGGTCAGCCACTTGTGCCAGGAGATTGCCTATGTTTTCAGGAGACGTTCCGGATACATAGACACCCTGCTTGACTACAAAGGCTTGAGTGGACTGCAAAGAGAAAGGAAAAAAAGAAAAAAGTTCATTCAATTAAAAACAGTAAATCACATTAAATATAAAAATACCAATTTCTCTTGGTGACTTTCTAGTTCCTACATGTAGCAATGTATAACAAAAAGCAGGCTATATGAAGTAAACGCATACCGGCCACTAGATGCACCAGTATGAGCTCCACAAATTACTTAATATATCAGCATTTTAAGGTCTGCTTACAGAATACCAAGCTCTACATGTAAAAAAAAAAACAAACAAACCATTAAATGTTTAAAAAAAAACAACAAAAAAAAAAAAACTCAGTAGATTTAATGTTGAAATGTTTTAAAAAAAGATAATGACAAATAATAGGTTTAAAAATGTCACCAATTCATTTTTGGGTTGTAAGAAATAAAGAAATCTGCATTTTATGTCACTTGTTCAGTTTCATTGGACGTTACAGTTTGACACCATTTGCATAACAGCTACACGTGTATGATTTATGTGTAGGATTTACCTGGTTGAAGGAGAATGTAGAAGACACGACACCAATAAGAACATTGAGAACATCCTTCACCAGCTCAGGCTCTTTAAGCATCACATGAGGTGCTGACTGTATAGCTGTGTTACTAAGCATCTGCAAGCCGGCCTCGAAAATTTTATACATTTTATCAAATGCTTCTCGGCCTGCCTCAGTAAGATAGGGATCTTCTCTCTTACCTGGAGGACTAAAGTAGAAAATATGCTGGTATTGTAATAACATAAATCAAAGCCAACCTGTAATATATACCCATAAACCCACAAATAAATCACATGGTGTACCATTTCCATTCATAGGTCCAAGAGACCCCTGTAGCAGGTTATGTTCACTTACTTTTCTTCTGCAAAAACATCTGACACAATGAATCTCAAAGAACTGTCTATGATGCCTGGCATTTAGAGATTGGGAAACCCAAACTTCTAATGTACCAAGCAAGACAATAAAAAAAACAAAAAACAAAAACAAGCATAGTAAAGAAGCATGTGATAACGTTCCTAATGCACACCAATCATTTTATTCCCATTCAGGTGCCTGGTGTACAATACTTGTGTTTTACTCCCTATAAACGTCCAAAAGGTATGGCCCTGCTCAAATATCACCAGTTCATCAAAATCTTTAGGTTGCCTGGGGCAATCTATTCAGCGTAAAATAACATGTATACCCACAGAATTACACTTGATTTTCCTTTTATAGTTAATAGATACAAATCAGCTGTACAAAACAGCTCCACCAGATATGCACCAACAGTCAGCAAATTAAGGGCCATGTCCCACACTTCCAATCATGCAACAACTTGCCAGCACCAGGGTCGCTTTGCAGGGCAGAGAAATATTCACCTGCTTTCACAATGTTGCTTTCTCACTGGCTGGGTAAGCGAGGCATTGCTATGTAACTGGCGCATTACATTTTGCAGCACTTCCATCAACAAGGGAGCGACACTGAGGATGCAGGTGAGTATTTTCGGTGCAGTTTTTAGCGCTTTATCTACTGGCGAGTTGTCCTAACAAAAAGGACCACAAGTGTAGATTGGGCCCAACTCATGGTTGAAGAGGTTGGTGCTATATGCAATCCAAGTAAAAGTATGCAGTGAAAGGCAAGGTGTATTGCTCAGGAAGTTATTCCACAAAGTGGTACGGTCAGTCTGTTTTATACTTTAAGAAAATCCAGGAGCAGTTTTAGATCCTTATTAACAGACACAACAGTCACTTTTAATACAAATGTTGAGCTGCAGTAAAACTTACAAGCCTATCCTTTCCCAACAACGACGTTTACTGGGGTTATATGTGAGGACGGCCTCCCACAAATCAATGTCAGGAGTTACACTGGGCTCTGACTGAGAATCAGGAGTCATGTTTGATGCAGACTGGAAACCCTCATCTTCTGACTGGTCAATACTTTGTGGAACCTGAAAAGCAGAAAAAAAATTAGTTGTGGAGGTTTATATAGGACACACACTAGGAACTAAACTGAATGAATGTTATTCTTAAAAAAACATACTATGGTCTATTAGGCAAAAATGTATATTACTCCATTGAACTGAATGAGAAAAAACAAACAATGGAGGCTGCTACTGCTGACTTCATGCTCAGAAAATGCTTAGCTGTTACGCTGAGCCTCTTGCTTCTATATTGTAAGTCACTGATCTAGAGCAAGTATGTATATAAGAACTTGCTCCAGGTCAGAGACACAGAAAGCACTGAAGTTAAAAGGACCAGCAACAATTGATACATACATGTATGGATTATATTAAAACAGTCTTGAAGCATTCGCTAATAGTTTGTTGTTTGGTATCATTGGTTCTCTGCAGATGTCAGTTTGTGAGGAGCATAGATGAGCCATTGCCAAATAATATAATATCAAATGAAATCTGATCAAAGGAGTCACAGAATGACTGACTCCTTTGATCAGATGCTGCCCACACCTCACCTTTGTGAGTAGGTTTTTATTGTTTCCTATTTATTTACAATAAATGATAATGCACAGGGGAAGGCGCTCTCTAGGTTTTGTTTTTTTACAGATGATGCAATAGTCTCTCTGACTGTTAAGGAGCAGCCTCGCTGTGAGAAGATATACTACAACAATCATTATTATATAAGCCGGATCCCGTGTCAAGATCCTTAGGAGCTGGTGTGATCCGTGTTGTTAGAAAGCGATCGGGAAATCCTGTCCAGATGAATCCTTTACAATGAATTTCTCATGTCCAGTACAGAACTTTTTCACTATAAACATCTAGTCTACTTTCTTAAAGCTTTGGGGCCTCAGAAAGATCTAACTACAATGACACCTTCTGAACATCTTAATAGGAACCACAACAGAATGCCACGTCACATATCCACTATATACACCATCATTATTGGGAGAAAAAATTACCTTATCTGGATAGGCAGAAACAGATTCTAGAGGAGGCCTCAGAACTGGAGAAATGGCATCAAATGGCCTCTGAAGCTTTTCAATAAAATATTACTTTGATTATAGGGGCAAATGATATGTTTCGATTGAGATAGTACATGGTTCCAGCTCGTATAGCTTCCTTTGTTCCGGGTGCCACTTCTAATTGTTTGAGGTTGTGGACAGGATTCAGTTTACTACCTTTGGTGGACTTACTCAAAGATTTTGGGTCAGGCTATATAACGTCATATTTCCCTTACACAAATAAGCCTCAGTAAACCCCAATCCAAAGCACTACTAAATTAACCTATTAAGGAAATTCCCAGACTGACCATTTTCACAGCAGTTAGAATTGCTCTCCTCAGATCTCAGAAGACTTCTTCTATCCCTTTTGAACTAATCAAGGTTCCAGTTTCCAGGATAGTAATACATGAAGAATTGTCTGCTATGATGCATGACAGGATGGAAGTCTTCCATAGTGTGAGGCACCCAAGGATACAAAATATTTCTGGAGCCTCAAGGGATAAGTAGGCAGTCAGCCCTGTGGGACAGGATTCTCCTGCCCCCATGCATTTTTTTTTCTTTCCTCCACCCTTCCTGGAATTTCCTTGTCAATTGTTTGTGTTACTATAAAGTTCCATTTTCTCATTTCACACATGTGAAGTGACAAATCACTTGTCTGTTATCCTCCATGGGTCCCTTCTACCTTACCCATGGAGATGCAAAGAATATTTTTTAACACTGAGTACTTAAACAAGCCACATGCTATTTGTATGGGCATTTTTTGGGCGAGTGTAACCACATTGAAATTTCTCACATGCCAAGTCTCCTGTGCAGGAAAAGTATTAAAAACTATTGGAACAGAAAACAGCTTTATTTAATAAAGAAAGGCCAAAAAATGCTTTCCTGATCAGTGCTGAAGATGGAAGTATGAGTGATTCAGTAGCACATTGGCCAAAATATTTGGTTAATATTTAGCCTGGTATATAGCAAAATGCATACTAACCTTTATGGCAAGCCCAGACAGGTCAGCACTATCTGGCACAGGTGGCAGATCCAATTTAATATCCATATCATTGGTTCGGGTGTGGACAAGGGCACCAAAGAGTGATACACGAGTCTCTTTCTCAAACTTATCACTTGTGGAGAAATTGTGAGAGAAGAGGCCTGTGGCTGGAAGACCAGTGCCTGGTGCAGCTTCCATGAGCTGTAGTGTACTGTGGACAGTGCTACTCATGTCAAATTCTTGGTAGGCCAGAAAACACCCGATGTCAGCTTCAAATACACCAACATCATAATAGTCATATCCCTGGTACGGTGGCTTCCTGCCAACATATTTGTTGTTTTTAAAGATGTCTCTTTTTGGTGGAAGGAGTTGTGGTGGTCCGGTGCCTGAAAGATCTACCAAGAGCTCGAGAACAGAACACAGATTTGTGAACTGTTCCCCACTAAACCTTTCTATATTTTCCAGCAGCTCCTCTAGACGGTCTGCTTCAGATTTCATGTCACTAACACGCATATTAAAGGACAACATCAGCATTTTATTTTTCACTGGAAGCTTTTTGGCACTTTGCTGCTGCAACCTCCGAGCTTCCTCTTGAAACAAGTGGATAAACAGTGTATCATATGCCAGTCTCTTGAGGCATTGTTTGGTCTGTTTCTTGCTTCTCTTTCTGCCACCTAGTCCAGTAGTCCATGGGAATCCAGCCATGTGGGCATCACACAAATCACCAAAGAGCTGAGTAATGCTGCTCATCTTGACGTTTAGCTTCAGGGGTATTAACCTGGATCCTGAAGTGGTGTTTGAGGTTATGGGTACCTACATCTAAAATACAGAAGAGAACAGTTACTGTAAAAATCATATCAAATCGTAATATCACAGGCTCTGTATAACAACATTTTCTAAGGAAGATCTGCAATCTTACAAATAAGACATTTCCTTAGCCACATACTACTGCAATGGCATTCATCTGATTAAATCTATGTCCTTCATATTATACATGGAAGACATACCCTAGATCAGGGGTGCCCACAATTTTTTGTGTTAAGATCTACTTTTCAAATGACGAGCTACATGAGATCTACCAACCAGCTCTCCTGGCTGTCTGTCCTTGCTCATCATCCTGGCTGTCTCTCCTCTCTCATCCTCCTGGCTGTTTCTCCTCTCTCATCCTCCTGGCTGTCTCTCTTCTCTCTCCTGGCTGTCTCTCCTGGCGGTCTCTCCTTGCTCATCCTCCTGGCTGTCTCTCCTTGCTCATCCTCCTGGCTGTCTCTCCTCTCTCTCCTGGCTGTCTTTCCTCATTTTCTCTCCCGACTGTCTCTCCCCGCTCTCTCTCCTGGCTGTCTCTCCCCGCTCTCTCTCCCCGCTCTCTCTCCTGGCTGTCTCTCCCTGCTCTCTCTCCTTGCTGTATTTTGCGAACAGTGTAGTGCAACAGGCTGTGTAATCTAATATTCTTTGATGTAATACATAGCACTTCAACCACCAGAATCCACCAGAAAGGTGTCAGGGAGCTCGGCTCAGCAGACTCAGGCTAATAGGTAATCATGTGTGCACAGCTAAATAAATATACCAAAATGGAATAAAGGGGCCACCATTCACACCCTTCTTGATCTACCAGCATCAGCTTTGAGAGCTACTGGTAGATCACGATCTACCTAATGGGCACCCCTGCCCTAGATTAACTGAGCAAGGAGGCTGCACAAACTTGCATCCTTTAGAACAGGGGTGGGGAACCTCTGGCCCTCCAGCTGTGGTGAAACGCAAAGATGCATCTGGGAGTCATGCCTGTGGCTGTGAGAATCTTGCAATTCCTCATGCGATTTGTAGTTTTTACCAGTGCTGAAGGGCCGGAGGTTCCCCACCCCTGCTTTAGAGTAGAGTATTCACAAGCTACTCTCAGTCCACCGATTGCTAGGTACCTTGAAGAAGAACTCCATGCAAAATGTTTCTTAATACTTGCAGTGAGGCTCTCCCTGCACTTCAAGGGTTAACTGCTCATGTTGGTCTAGGGAGGAAAATAACAAAAAGTTATACTCACCCGATCCTCCGAGCTGGCTTGCTCTTAGACCAGTCCATTCAGCCTCTTTCCCCCTCCACTGCAGCAATCTAAGGTCCTGGAGTCATCAAGTTCTATACACAATGTATAGGACATGAGGGACATACCATGACTGCAGCAGAGAAGGCAGGAGGGAACACTGTCACAGCCGACAGGCTCTGAGGATCAGATGAATAGAACTTTGTTATTTTCCTCCCTAGACCAAAATGAGCAGTTAACCCTTGCGGTGCAGGGGAAACCCAACTGCTAAGGAAAAGTTTGCTCAGAGAAATCAATCATTTGTAAACTAAAGCAGAACTTTACTGAAGGGGAACAATAAAAGATTCAAGAGACGTTGCATGTCTCTTCTCCAGACCAGGTCTCTTCTGCTAAAAAAAAGCCTTCCCCTGAATCCTAGATTTTGTTTTTTTGTAATAGTGTGCAGTGTACACTCCCAGCATCAGTAAGGTGCAGAGAATGGAGCCAGGATGACCTAAGAGTTACATCATCAATGGCTGTCAGACAGCTGAAGAACAAGAGCATCAGAACTAGTTCTGCTTTAAGAGAAAAATAATAAAAGGGTCACACCACACATCAGATTTGATCCTATAGGTTGGCTACTACTCATTAATAGAATGCAGGAAGTTAGAATAACCACCATGTATATCTAGTAAAACACATAACAAAAATGTAGAATCTCCTCTAGCCTCATCAATAACCAACATGGCTGTATACAAATCTAGATCTGATGAGCTCTGTTACTCCATAGCTGTCTATATTAGATTGTACAGCTGGTGACATGTGGCCACTGCTGGGTGCTGGTTGCCATGGCACAGAGCACACTAGGTCTCTTGATTCTGTCAAAGGAGAACACACATGCATTATAATAGTTGTTATGCACTATCTGTTACACATTGATTGAATAATATTTACACATCGCTGCCATGAAATGAGGCATAGCTACTCATTTTCTCCCTCTTCGTTTTTTATAGTGACCCAAAATACCACAACACATTGCAGCAAAAAGGATTCCACGAGTGTCTGTGGAAGGAGGTGTAGATACCTCTGCACGGATACACAGTACGGCTAGGACACCGAGCAGGTGACGGGTACAGGACACACACATATTAACGTTCCCGCTCTCCCTCTCCCTGCGACATCTCATCCCCGGCTTCCCTTCATCTACAACCGCCGCATCCCATACACTTCCGGCATCCGCTGCTGACACTTCCACAACACAGCCAGATAGGGCACGCCAGACCAGCTGATCGGGGTCATGTGATCGAAGTAGGAGGGCGGAGCATAGAGTAGAGAGAACGCGGGATAGAGTGATGATGAGGGGTGGTAGTGTACACTCACTGAGAATCTGAGATGAGCGGCCGGGGGACAGTTATATAGAGAGGACGCTTTCTAAAGTGACAGTAATATCGAAAAAAAGAACACTCATAACGGACTTTAATGGTAGCACTCCTGTTAACGTTTGTCGAAAACACAGAATGGTACCATTAGGCTGCATTCACACCTAGGTGACAGCGTTTTTGCTGCACGTGCTGCGTACATTGAGTCGCATGTTTTAAAAGGCAGATTGTGCAACATTGATGTGAATGGGCAATCGCGCAAAAATAATTGTGTCGTGGGTTCCCAAGCATTTCCTATTGAGTTTGTGGGGGGGAAAATGCACTGTAATCTACCAAAAAAAAAAAGCTCATGTACTTTTCCCAGCGTCAGGCGTTTTACAGCTTGCAACAAAATGCTCAGGTGTGAATGGGGGCCAATGGAATGAGCTTTATTTTGTTTTGCGTATTTTACCTTAGGCACGACAAAACGGCAAGGTGTCAATGGGGATTAAAGTCCGCTTCCAGTTTTCTCTTTTTCAATACTACAGTTTTGTGTGGGATGTTGGTACCGGTTCAACAGAGCTAGTATCAACTACTGATTTCTAGAGATATTTGACTGCTCACACTCAGGGCTAGATTAAGAGTAACACAGGTCTGGTGCTGAGGATTGCAGTAGGCCTTTTTATGGAAATGGCAACGGTCACCGGGACCCTCTTCCTTCTATCTGGGCTGTGATTTGTAGTCTCTACAGCTTGGAGTCAGTGGTGGAGCGCCAGGGCCCGGTTGCAGCTGTGGCCCTGGTAGATCTACCTCTGACTCCAAGTTGTAGAGAGACTACAAATCTCAGCAATACATTATACAGCAACTATATAGTCCAACTATAGTGGACTACAAATCTCAGCAATACATTATACAGCAATGCAGAATACCACCAACTATAGTGGATTACAAATACCAGCAATAAATTATACAGCAATACAGAATAATACTACCAACTATAGAGGACTACAAGTTCCAGAAATAAATCAAACAGCAATGCAGAATACTGCCAACTATAGAGGACTGCAAATCCCAGAAATGCATTACACAGCAACGCAGAATACCACCAACATAGAGGGCTACAAATCCGAGCAATGCAGAATGACACCAGCTATAGAGGACTACAAATCCCAGCAGTACATTGTTAAGCGCTGTAGAATATTACCATCAGCTATAGAGTACTACAAATCCCAGAAATAAATTAAACAGCAATGCAGAATACTGACAACTATAAAGGACTACAAATCCCAGTAATACATTATACAGCAATGCAGAATAATACCAACAACTATAGAGGAGTACAAATTCCAGACATACTTTATACAGCAATGCAGAACACTATGAAGCTACCGTATATACTCGAGTATAAGTTGCTTATATTCGGGTCAATACTTTTTCCCAGTTTTTTGGGGTAAAATTAGGTACCTCGGCTTATATTCGGGACGGCTTATACTCGAGTATATACGGTACATACTCTGTGATGCTCCGGGTTCACGGCCTGATGTCTCAGGAGGGCTGTGCGGGCTCTCTGGTGGCCCTCTATTCAGGCATATTAGAGGCCCGCTCGCTGGGGCCTCTCGGGACCTTTGTGAGGAGCAAGCGGCCCTCTAACATGCCTGAATAGAGGGCTGCTGCTGCCCGATTGTGGTCGGATACCGAGACCTATTTGCCGAGGAGGGCCTGGAGCAGCAGCTCCAGCCGCCCCAACGTTAATCTGGCCCTGCACTCAGAGCAGCCATGTTTATTCCTCCATCATTCATCTCTTTAGTAGTTATAAACATGGTGTTAGATGGTTACCACTTTAAGCAAAATATAAATTTTGGGTCCCCTGGAGCAAACAGAATCTGGAGCAGTTGCCTATGGCAACCAATCAGCTTCTATCTTCAATTTGTTAAGCTTTGAAAATGAAAGACAGAAGCTGATTGGTTGTCATGGGCAACTGCTTCAGATTCTGTCTGCTCCAGTTTTTATGTTTTCCCCTTATATCATACACCTCCTGGGGACCCAAAATGTATATTTTACTTAGATGGTTACCACTTTAACACCATGTTTATTAACCGTTTTATAACTACTAAAGAGATGAATGATGGAGGAATAAACATGGCCAGAAATATATTGGCCAAAAATTGTACTTTTGGCAAAATGCCTGAAAGTGCCATCTTTCGGCCAAAATAGCGGTGCATCCCTGGTTTATCTCCTCCCTGCTTGGCGCTGCACTGTGTCCCCTCTGACACAGTGCAGCGTCCAGCGGAGGAGAGAAACTGTCACAGGAGGCCAAGCGGTGCAGGGAAGGAGAGCGATGGGAGTGGCTGGCGTCTCTCCTCCCGTACCGCTCAGCCTCCTGCAACAAATTATGAGAGCGGTGTGGGGGTGGAGACAGCTGTCACAGGAGGCTGAACTCTACTCTCGCACTGCCCCGTGACAGATCAGGAGAGCGGTGGTGTGGGGGCGGGCCCCCCGTGACAGATCAGGATAGTGTCGTTGTGGGGGCGATGACAGCGGTCACAGGAGGCCGAGCCGGCGGTGCAGGGGAGGAGTCAGCTGTCAGAGGAGATCCAGCTCTCCTTCCCGCCCTGCCCAGCCTCCTGTGACAGCGAGTCAAGACGGAGAGCGGGTACAAGCACTCAGCGATCAGTGATTGCTGACTGCTTGGAAATAATTGAGTATGTTTACTATATCCTCAATTATGAATGAATGGGAAGTGATCTGCATCACCTCCTGCTCATTCATGATTGTGGTTACATACGTTTTGGCCTGACATTTCTTTTCATTTCGGTTCCGAAATTTTCATTTTGGTGCACCTCCAGAGGTGCCCATACACCTTACAATTATCTGCCGATTTTCTGTGGTCAGATGGAAAAAGTGCAACAGATTGGCCCCGGTGGAGATTACTCCAGGCACACAGTTTAGCGTAGATGGAGGAATCTGTTGCACCTTTTCCATCTGACCACAGAAACTCTGCAGATAATTGTAAGATGTATGGCCAGCTTTGTAAAGATCTCTTCTGCTTAAAAGAAAAAAAACCTGTCTCCTCTCCTCCTATGTACTACCTGATCTCTGTAATTAAGCCCAATTTAAGGTGAAACATAAGGACTGTGCAGCATGGCAGGAGCTGAATAAGCCCCCAGTCACACCAGCCCTTCCTGTTAATGCACGCCAAACTGAGGAAAAACCACGTGCTTTGACGTGCTGAACGTAATGGCTCTCTGTGCCATTACTAGTTGATGGCACCCCAAACACAGCTGGGAAAACAGCAGCTTACATGCACATTTGTGCATGTTCAAATGCACAGGAACCCGTGGTTTGCACAGGAACTTTCACGAGTCCACTGAAATCAATGGTGATGTGCATCAAACACAGGAAATACTTGCAAAAAAGAATACATGATCACCAGCACTCATGTTTGCTTCAAAACAAAATCCTTTTATTCATTCTAGCAGATCATATCACCATATGTGGCAACAGTTCGGAACCTGTCCAGTCCCTTCATCAGGCAAACAAAAGTGATTTTAGTTTGCCTGATGAAGGGAGCGGACAGGTTCCGAAATGTTGCCACATATGGTGATATGATCTGCTAGAATGAATAAAAGGATTTTGTTTTGAAGAAAACCTGGAAGGCTGGTGACTATTCTTTCTTGCAAGTATTTGGAGGCGCCA